TGACTCCAGTGTTTCATGCAGTATAAATCAGACATCAGTCAAATATCACTTTGAAGACTCCTTGACTAAACTGCACTATTGACGTGGTGGACCTGAGCACCGCCTGGTGGATCAATGAAGCACATTTCTACGTGTGTCTGGGTGGGTCATGGAGGGCACTATATTTGGCCCTTCCTCACTGGTGCTGTCCCCTGTGTTCTGCCTCCTGGCCACCATGAGCTACAATGTTTTACTCCATTGTGCCCTTCTGTCATGATATTTCTGCCTTGGGGTCAGCCTAACATGGGCTGAGGTTCCTCAAATCATAAGCCAAAATAAACCTTTCCTCCTTCAAGTCATGGATGTCAGGTATTCTATACTAACAACCAAAAGTCCCACCTTTGATTCAGTTTCTTGTTGCCACCCTGGTAAAAATGTTAAAAGAAAAAAATTTTGGATAGTAATGCCATGCCCAGAGGCAAGAAGCCCTGGAATATACAAAATAATTACTACAGTATGAACAAGAAACTATAAGAGTTTGCATGCGGTGGTAACCCCTTGTTTTTTGTTTGACACTCCTCATAGAATAAATAGGAATAAGAGAATCTAATATAAGAATGAGATGAGAGGAATATTTTTGATTTTCACAGTCTAAAATTTTTAGAGATTCAAGTTTTTAACTACAGAATATTGAATCAGAAAGGGGATTCCAATCATGACATTTACTTTTTTGTTAAATTAAGAAGAATCCTGAGGCCTAGTGAAGTAAAACTTCTTACTCAAGATCCAAAAACTAAATATTAGAAGCCTTTCCGTTTTCATTACCCCTTGCAGTTGGGAGGCCATCCTGAAGACAGGATCCCTAGTTTCAAATCTTGACTATGCTTGACTTCATAAGCTAATCATTAGCAATTACTCAACTTTTGAGTAAGTTGGTTTACCTCTCTCTTTCCAAGTTTTACTCTCTTTCAGCTTCTGTTTTTCAATGTATATTGACGGACAAGAATTTCACAGCCTTGAATTAAGGATTAAATAGGCTAGTAATATAAAACACTTGACAATCATATTCCACACTCGGGAAACATTCACAAAAGGTATTTACTTTCATTTTATTGCACAATTTATTGCGCAAGAACATCCAGTCAGATCCTGTGATCCTAAAATTACAGGCTTTCAAATCTATGTCAAAAATTTTTTTTTTAAATCTATGTAGACTTGCTAGAGTTGTGTGGTTGGATCTCCTATTGGATGATCAACGTCTGCCCCTCGAATAAGAAGGAACAGCTACTGATTAGAATCTGAAAGGCAAGATTTCAACTACTTCTTTCCATGTAGTTTGTAATATAGATTCTCAAACTACAACTCACGGAGAAAACTTGCGTACTATCATCTGTGTTTTACTGCATTTATCAGAGCAGATGTGAATGGTGACTTTAAGGCCAGTGTCTGAGAGCTCTTGTTTCCTTTTGCTTTGACTGCTCTTGTTCACGTCTGCTTAGCCCTATGTGTCCCATATATGCTGTGGGAGGAGGGTTTAGCAGAAAAATTAAAAGGAAGGGTTCAAGGGTTTAATATATAATAAATGAAATCACAATACAATCTGGAAAATGACAACAGTATGTAGTCACTAATACACATAACACATAGTCCAGGATGTGCAAACAAATAGTATAACTGATTGATAATATCACTGCTTAAAAAGGCCTTCATATATATATGTATGATATACTGGGAATCAAACTCATGATCTCACACTTGCTAGGCAGGTGCTATGCCGCTAAGCAATATCCCAGCTCTTACACATTTTTCTGTATCAGAATTAGTCTTTATTTTTTGCATTCACTGCTCAGAACTGTTATTTCTTTTTAAAAGGTTGCTATTTTTCATTTAAATTATACTTTAATGATACATAAAAGTTGTACATGCTACCGGGGCAATGATGCTCTTTCAATACATGTTTATGATTCTTAAGATCATTGAATTTCTTAGCTATAAATACTCCTTTTCTTTCTTTTAAGTGGAAAAAATATACACTGAAGGACATGAATCAGACATTACTCTCCATGTGACAATACTCTCTGAAACAGACAATGCTAAAAATAATTTGGAATTGTATTTTACTTACAGTAGCATAGGGAGACAATGAAAAAAAATATAACAGAATCTAGTTCTCAAATCCATTAATTGAATGCATAATTATCATGTTATTTGTCATGGAGTGAGTAATAATGATGAATAAAAAGATAAACTGACTAATGTTTTAAGAGTGAATTTAACTCACATTCTCTTAAACATATTATTTGATTAAACTGTTATCCATTCTTGTTTTTAATTTTAGTGAAAATTTCCAATTAAGAAACAAAAGATACTCAACTGTCTATCAATATATGCAAAATATGCTTAATTGAAAACAATTTTTCTTTTCCAGGAACTTTCAATTCTTATATTGCCTAAAAATCAGAACATCTTATAGATGGTTCTCTTATTCAGGAGCTAACAATTCACATTGTATTTTTATGGAGCTCTCAATCTTCAAAAAGTCCCTCTTTATTTTCACTTTTAGGGTTATTGCCAATGCATTTATTTCAATGCTTTGTCCTAAATCACGAGCTAACATAAACCCTGGGTCTTGGTGGCTGTTTTCATTAAAAGCAGAGCAAGAAAAAATAAATGAATGCAATTTTAGCATTATCCAGCTTTCAGTAGTTTCTGTTTTCCTATATGCCTCTAATACTCATGTGAAATGATAATGTGTAGTTTAGTTAAGCATATCTTAAAGGTTTATCTGTGTATTCCAAGTTTCAGTGATTTCTACTCTTCTATTGAATCTCTCATACCATTGTGAAAAAGTGATGAATATTTTATTATAGCATATTTTCAGAGGTTTATCTGTTGAGAGGATATATTTTTAAGAAACAGTGCATGTATCATGGATCAGAGCACAAACAGATCATATTGTTCAATCATTTGTAGAAAAAATCCAGTGCTATTACAATTACATTCAATTATTTTTCTGAACCTATTTATGAATTTAGTTGAACAATTGATCACAAGGAGATTTTGGGTTGAAGACTGTTTTGGTTATAGGCAGCTTACCTTACTATTCAATTCACTTTTTAAAAAAATAAATGGAAAGCTGAGAATATAGTTCATTGGTAGTGAATTTCTTTCCCAAGAGCAAGTCCTGAGATTCAGAAAAAAATTGAAAAAGTCTATGTAAAAATGGCCAACAGATTCTTTTTTTCAGTGTTAAGGATCGAACCAAGAAACTTTGCAAGTGCTCTCTCCACCGAGATACACTTTATTCTCCAACCAAAAGAATTATATATTTTTAGAAATTCTGAAAGTCTAGTACCCTACCAATAAAGTGAATCACTGGCAAAAGCACCGTTTGCTTTTTTAGCATTCTGAGTCTTCTATTTTTATAAAGCAGTTGTGTAGTTGCCTACAGATTGCCAAAATAAATGACAGAAAAGGAAAATATGATCATTTATCTACTTGGTACAGTTTGTTAAGCAACCCATGATTTAATTTGTCCAGTTGCTTTTGCGTAAGTCGGGCACGATTTATATACGTGTACCCAATTTTCTATACCCCAGTATCTGTGCATAACACGTTTTAAGCTGCTTTGTGTTATCATGTATGTAAGAGAACATATGTGAATCTGTTAAAAATGGTCAGAAACAATTCACCTATGTTCTTAAAGTTTTAAAAATTACATTTCTTTTCCCTTATAATATTACTTGAAAATATTATTTTAAACAATCAGAAACATTGGAAATAATATTTTAAGCACAGTAATTCTGTTTAGTAGTCTGTAAACACTTATTTCTTCATGACATAATCTGGAAGAAATATGAAAAGAAAAATTCTTAAGCCTCAGCATGCTAAATTAAAATGGTACACTGGGAATGTAGCAAAAGACTATCCAACAGACCTTATAGCTACAGGCAGATACAGAAATCGTAAAGGGTTTGTCTTTAGTCATTCAGGATGTCTACATTTCCGCAGCCCACAATATTATTTTTCACCAGTGAAATAAAAATGACATTTTGTTCACATACATGTAGCTGTTCTCGCGGTGGTGGGTTCTATAAAAGCAACAGGCGTTTCCCTCTGAACTCTAGCAACTAGAAAACTGCTACCCACACTGGCTGGAAACAGCCAACAGAGAATGTGGCAGCTATGATTCCCAACCATTTTGCCAGCGCTTTCTGAAGAGGAAGGAAAGAAAGAGAGAACGTGGATCCCTTCGAAAGGAAAGGATGTCATGGTGCTTGCAGCCCCTCACCCTCTCCCAGGCTGTTGAACAATCAAGCCCTGCAGGGACGCTTAGGTTTCTGGAGTAAAGCAAGGCAATATAACTCGGCCCATTTTGCTTAAACTGAAGTGATCAAGACGAGGGAGCCCAATTCACCAACCCTCTGGGTGGGAGCAATGCGAGCCTCCCTGAGCAGGCTTGGGCGCTTCCTCTTTTACCAGCGAGGTCTGTTTGCCCAGCCTGTTGCTCTGGCCACACGCGGTGCAGGACACACAGCTGGGGCACCTGGACCCAGCGCGCAAGCCCGCAGAGCGTGGTGTCCCCGGCTGGGGTTCTGCGCCCCCCGCGAGGCGGCAGCTGCGCACCCCGCCGGCGGACCCTGACCACGGCCACGCCGCCGCCGGCAGAGGGTGCCCTGCCTCCGAGCACGCAGGGAAACCCGGCTAAAGTAACCGCTCAGACTCCGCCCCAGCCAATCCGCCGGCGCAACAGTCACGGTCCTTCCCAAAATAGTGCGGAGCGCGTTTGCCCCTGAACACCGCAGTACCCGGTGTGTGTGTGTGTGTGTGTGTGTGTGTGTGTGTGCGTGTGTGTAAAACAAAACCAGGGCGAACCCAGTGTTCGCGCCGGCGCAAGGGGCGCACGGAGTGGGACCCCAGGCCAGGGCGAGGTGACCGCCAAGGAAGCACAGAGGACACGCAGACCGGTCCATTTCGCATCTGCGTAAGCCGGCCGCCGGGCCTGCGGGGAGGCCACTCACCATGTTCACTTCGGAGACCATGTCTATGCTGGCGACATCGATCCGCATCCCGACGTCCACGGGGGGCCCTGCCAGGGAGGTGGGACCGCATTAACACAGATTCCTGAGTGGCAGTGGGCTAGGAGGGATGGGGGGGGGGGTTCCTAGACCTTACTGTATCCAGAACGGGCTCCCTCCCTGCTCCCCTCCTTGGGGACAGCCACGGAAAACAGGTGTGGGCACACGCGTGATGCAGTGACTATGCAGAGGGTGTGTCCGGTCGGGAGGTCAGCTTAGCCTAGGTATTGGGGCACCTGAGCCTAGGAGTCGTGTGTGTGTGTGTGTGTGTGTGTGTGTGTGTGTGTGTGTGAGGCATAGCGCACACTCACGAAAATGACATTTTTTTTCATCTATCTTTGTCAGAAAAGGTGAGCTAGGGATGGGTAACAGGTTGAAAAAAAAGATGCATTACCTCCAAAGTCCGGCCTCAAGCGAATGTCATATCCCTTGAGCAATCTGTCCACTGTCTCTTTCACGTATGACATGTTGCTTGGTTCATTGGCGCTGAAGGGAAGAAGTAGGGACCGTATTCAAGATGAGCACAAACTGAGAGCAGACATAAAGAGATGCAGGCACACCTACCCCCAAATACCAAGATACATGATCCAGCAGACATGTAAAAAGAAAAACACCAAGAAAAAGAGAGAGAGAAAGAGAGATTCAACAACGGAAGCTCACCTGTGTGCACAACAGACCATGGCAATCATCACAGGGAAAGAGAGAAGCCTCAGACTCTCTCGATTTTGTACTGTCCACATTACTAACTCTGATTAAAGAATTGTCTTTTCTGCGAAGATTCAAGGAATGCAACTTAGTCAGCGGCTGGGCAGTAATTCCCGAATGGACTTGCGCATGCGCAGAGGGTGCTCACTACCAAGAGACACCTTGTGCCTTGCAAACAATATTCCTAGTGGAACAGGCAACAGATTTCAGTCCCTTTAAAGTTCCTGTTTGAGGTGCTCTGCGTTCTCTGTGTAGTCAGAGGCAACCTGCTGTCTTCCGGCGGGGGATCCTAAGTGTTTGCTAATATGGAGTTTTCCTTGTACACTGGGGGCTGCTAGGTTTCTTTCCTTTCTGTCCTCTGTCTGATTTTTCGCTCTGATCCGAGGCTGCCTGTGACTTGCATCTTTCGTTGACGGTCACAGAGGTCCTAGAACTGAGTTATCTGGAGCCGGTTCTTCTGGTAGCTGGAGAAAGAGGAGTTGGGAGGGGAGCGTCAAGCAAAGAATGGAAAGAAAAAGCCCTAGAAGACTTGGGAAAGGGGAGAGAGGAAATTCAGGAGCCAAAGAATCCGGCCCCCTTTGGGAGGCGAGTTAGGACACCTGGTTTAGGTAATGTTTCTCGGTGCAGGAGTGGGGAGGGTGACCAACTTCTCAACTCTCCCTCCTGCCCTCCTCCCTCTCCTCTTTAAATCGCTGCTAGAAAGGTTAGGGAGGGAGCTGCTCTGGGCAGGGAATCATTTTTCTGGGGCCATCTGCTGCAGGTCCTACTCTTCTCCTTTCTAGTAAGGAATGCCTCTTTCTTATATTGCCAGCATCTTAGATTGCATCAGTAAACCTGAACGGGCTGGGACTCTGGGACTCTGAAAACCCCGGAGGGTCCAACCTTAGCTGCAGGTTAGGGCTGGTGCTGCTTGAATCAAGCGAAAGTCATTGCAAGTCCACAAATGCTGCACACAAGTTAGGTGTTAGGATACCAAGGGTGGGCGTTTATTCGTTTGCTAAATAGGATTTATTAAATTTTTACTATGTCCTAGGTATTCTGAAACTTAACGCCCACTTAAAGAAGTCCCCTGACCTAGAGAAATTCACGCAGCAGTCAGAGTGATATATATGCAAATACAAGTAAGTTCTAGATAGTTTATATAGTAACAGAAAGGTTGTTAATTTTCCAGGAGAAGCAGAGATAGTTTCAGGTGAAGAAAAATATTGAAAGAGGAGAATTTTTTGACAGAGTAAGAAAAGAGAGTATTCCAGAAAGTGGAGGTGGTATATGGCAAACACTTGCCAGCTGAGGAAACATTGTCACACTTGGATTCCTGGATGCAGAAATGACAGGTCAGTTTATAAAAGCATGGGAAAAGGGCGAGATATAAGGTGGTTAGGATGTAAAGGGAGATTGAGGCCATAATATAACGAGAGTTACAAAATTTGCATGAAGGCGTCTACCATACCCTGAGGATCTCACCTATGTCAACCTTAGTTAAAATTTATGGAGGGATGAACCAGGGCAGATTTAGGTTTTAAATAAAATGTTATGGCAGAATAATTATAAGAACACTCAGCACTTATCAATTCCTATCTGGCAATTCCTGTGTAAAATTGATAGGCTATGTCACTTAAAACTTAACAAAAAATCCAAATATGTTGTAAATTATTATGACTGTGTTAGGATAATGAAACTAGTTGTTTAATATCCAACAACTAGTAGTGGTAGAATCTGGATTTCATCCTAGAACTAATGGATCTAATTACTTGTCTCTGTGCTGTGAAGCATGGAGCCTCAAAGGCAGGAGGAGAAAACAATACCCCTGGCAAAGGAACTAAAGTTAGAGAGGATTTACCATGAGAGAAGTGATAAAGAATCATAACCTTTTAGAAAAATACTAGAGTTATCAAACAGTTGGAAAGGGGATGTATAGAAGATAAAGAATTGTACAAATGTTTGCACATGTATTGACTTTGCTGTTATACAAAAACATGAATTTCATTTTCTGTTTGAGCAACCTTAAATGGTGAGGCCATTTCTTCGGGGATAACACTAAGGCTTAATTAGATTCTCTTGTTTCATTGAGAAATATCAACTCTCTTTTTAATTTAAATGGATCTGTTTTTAACAGTTGAAAGATTTATTTTGTTTCATGTCCTTTCTGAAACATAGAACATATGATGCACAACTGTAAAGTCACACCATAGCAAATACTGAGGTTCATTTGTTCCTTCATTTATCCCTCAAATATTTAATCATTTATAGAGTTGAAGACACTGTACTAAGAGCTGGTGATTTAATAGTGAACACAACAACATACATGGTCCCGTTTCAACTAGAATTAGTCATTTAATACATCCACAGAGGCTGCAAACTGCCAGCCTTGTGAGCCAAACTCAGTTCATAAGAGAAGCATTTATTTTGGTATTCACTATTTGTTCATTTAACTTATAAGACTATATATATATATATATATATATATATATATATATGTATATATATATATTCTATTAGCAGTGTATGCTAAAGATCTAAAATTTTGTTCTGGAATTGAGGAAGACAATCTGTGCTTTGTATACGTCAGTCTTGTTACTAGGTAGGTTCCAGCCAGATCAATTTCACTGAATTTTGTATTGAAACTGTATGTCTTCTGCTTATATGAAGGAATGCAATATGAAGTGATAAGACAGCCATTATTGTATTTATGACTTGTATGCCATTGATGACATATCACAACACCTTTGGAGGAAAAATTTCCCAGAACTTACTACTCTAAAAATTGTCTTATTTCCTGAATAGTGTGTATCTTAATGGAAGAGAAATCCTAAAATCCACCAATTTGCTTTGATTGCTGGAGATTTTAGAGTCATACATCCAAGTTGCCTTTAATCACTTTGCAAATGTTAGTGACCTGCATTTTGATATGTTAAATTTCTCCTTGGTGACTTAGAATTCTAAATTTAATTTCCTTTCTTCACACTTTACCAATTTAAAAACAGATACGTTGCACTGAATACATAATGTTTGCAAGTTGTCTTGGAACTAAGAAGGAAATAAATAAATTGAAAATTATTTATTTATTTATTTATTTTGGTACCAGGGATCGAACTCATGACCTTGCACTTGTCAAGCAGGCATGTATGTTCAGAGCTAAATCCTGGGCCTAAATTAACTTAAAAATAAATAAACAATTGACATTTTTTAAAAAAAACATCACATCTAGTTACATTTTGGCATTATTTTTTAATATTATGAAAAAGCCAACACTTTCCTTCCCCCTGTGAAGTTGCTTATTTCTCCTCCAAAACAGTCCTCCCAATTAACACATTTTCCCTTTCATGGTTCAACTCATTTTCCACTTTCTTGAGTGCAGGTGCCCCTGAAGACTGCCAATAATCCCTACTCTTATCTTCCTCTTATGGCTTTAAAAGGGAAAAGGGGAAGATCTTATATATTAACATTTCTCTAGGATGCAAGAGTCTTAAAGGAAAATTAAACAAGCCTTCATACATAATTTTAGTGTTCTATACACAGCAGTTACTAACAAGGAAACATAATAAGAAAAGTTATTCCATTACAATAACTTCAAAACTCGTTGGGCGATGAAATATAAAAAGTTATAAAATGCCTTTTTAAAAAACATATATAACATTATTGAAAGACACTGAATAAGACTTAAATAAATGAAAAATATGCCTTATATGTGGCAAGAAGAGTCAATCAATACTGTAAAGATACTGTATATTCAGTGCAAAAGATACAATCTGAATCAAAATTCTACATCTGAATGGAAATTGACATTTTTTTAACAAGGCATTTGTGCCATTCAGCTAAATCTCCGGCCCTTTTTTTTGCTTTATTTTTGTTTTTTGAGATGAGAACTGAGAATGTAGCTCAGAGTAGCTTTAAACTCACTGTGCAGCCCAGGCTGGTCTCAAACTCACAGTGATTCTCCTGCTTCAGTCATTTGCATGTGCTACCATGCCCAGCTGACAAAAAAATTCTAACACTTGAAATTTAAGAATGAAGGATCAAAAGAAGCCAAGAAAATTGGGATGAGAAAAAAAAGAAAGAAAAGGAATGTAATAGAAAAGTGCTTGCCTTTAGATATCAAGATTTTTCAATCAGAGAAACTATAACAATTTTGTATTTTATTTGGGTTTCACGTAATGATGGAGAAAAATAGTGCAAGCAAATAAAAGGCAAAAATATTCCTCTATTTTAGGAAAAGTGGGCAAAGATGAGCTTATAAGAAATCCTGCAAGGTAATTTGTGATCCAGAAGGGAAAAATACACATTTTTACCTCACTACATGTTCAAAATGTAAGATGGCTGTAAGTATATGTAAAATGCACAAAGCAAATCTTCAGAACTTTATGAAAACTGTATAGGCAGTAGTGGTGAACCTTAGCACACTATCCACAGTGAAAAAAGCACAGAGCCCTCTCTGCAGACGGGTAAGCTAAGTCACCCCAGCAACCAAATAGTGGATAGTCAGGTTTCATTACCCTTTTGGCACTTTTCCATAGACAACTGAGCTTTGGATTGCCCTCCAGGAGCTCAGTCTCTAAAAAGCTCCCTATTGCTGGTATAGGACAACTTCTAAACAATTTTGCTATAGGGAATGAGTTAAAGATAAATTGTTAAAGAAACAACTTATGAAGTTAACTGCATTAACATAAAATCTTTAAATGCAAAGAACCTGCTTAATATAATGAAAAATCAGGCTACACAAAGGATGAATATGTTTTCAGCAAAGATAACTACTAAAGGACTTGTATCAAGAATTTACACACCAAACAGAAAGGAGAGAAGAAAGGAAACTAAAATCTTCTTACAAGTAAATAAGACAAGCAGACCAAGGAGATACTCTAAAAAAAGGACCTAAACTTAATGGCACACCATTTCTAACTTATCATCTAGTGCAAATATTGGCTAAGAAATCTCATGTACATTCACTATGCAAAGGAATTTAAACATATTGTAAAGCACTTGGAACATATGAAATCCACGAGGTATATGCCCTTTGAGACATTTCTCTACTAATTTATATCTTTATGATACTTTTGTACACACTAAGAGTTTCATCTTCAATGAAATTATATGTCATGTAATTTTTAATAGTGTAAATTAGTAACATTTAAAATCTTTATCAATTGGGAATCTATCAATCAGAAATATATAATCACACAATAAAATATATGTCAAAATATAGAAATATTAGTATGCTTTTATTCAGATAAATCCCCTAGATAAGACTAAAGTAAAACAGACTAAATCAAAGCAAAAACATCTAAGAGTAGAATGATATGATGATCCTGGAAACATTATGTAAAGGTAAAAATGTACTTTAAGTGCCAAAACCAAACATATATGTAGTAAAAATAAGGAATAAGGATAAGAAGGAAATGAGAATTTAGGATTCAAGAGAATGAGTAATGTTTTATT